TCGAAGAGGTGCGTCGTGCCGTTCGATCGATAGAGGTGCGTTCGTGCCGTTCGATCGATAGAGGTGCGTTCGAGGTTTCGTTCGTCGATAGAGGTGCGTCGTGCTGTTCGTTCGATCAGTGTATCGGATCGGTGGTGGTATCGGTTGTATAGAAGGATCTTATAACATCTGTTGAAGAGACTAAAGGTAGCGATAGATGTATTACGAATGATGTTATAAGATTATGAGGAAAAGCTACTTTGTTGTCTCTGTATATCTGTAGATCTGTAGATGGGTGGAGGCTAGATTCCGGTTGACGGTTGACCGTCAGACGGCCGGAATCAGCACATTGGTTATTAAAATACTGTATTCACACCGGTATGGTACTTAAGTACTGTACCGGTACAGTTGTCAAATTTGCAGGTTGCATGGCGGCTTCTCTTGCTGTCCTGCGTGCTGTCAGGACTGCAGATTGCGATGCATAAACCCTAGCATCTGAGCGATCCATGTAATCCAATAAATCCGTGTTGAAGTACGACCTACCGGTTGGGTACGCGCCCCGAAAACGCCGTTAAACGGGCTCTTGGAATGAATCGAATCGAATCGGTGCCACCAAGATAGATTTATTCCAGAAAGCGAATGCATTCGCTTCAGCCCGCCAAACAAACTGGTACTGGTACAGTAAAGGTACTGGTACATGGTACGGTAGTACCACCAAGATCCCAGATGGGTTTTGCTAGCGCGTGGGAAAACTGGACGATGACCCAGATGCTGAGAAGAAGTCCTCGCCTCAGACCAACTCGTCAGAAAATAATGGAGAGAACAGACGATTGCAAAGGGAGTGATAAGTGATCGGATGCCTTGCGGCGAGTCGAGTCCCCGTCAAAAACGAAAGAACCGTGGAGGCGACCAGGGATTGACTATGTCAACATTACGTTGCTAACAACTGGAGTCGAATCATCGTCGAGTAGGCTGCAGCATGTTATCGTTGTAAAAGAGGAAAAGTTATAGAGAAGACATCCTAACACACTGGCATCGACATCACACAGCCGAGAAACACTCTCGAGTAACGCCGTCCAACGGAACCGGCCCAAACTCTTTTGCCGCCTTGCAATGTTTCCGAAATTGGAGACTAAGAACCTAGCTAGTTGACCATCAGTCCATCTTGCGCTCCCCTTTCCAATCAAAACCAATGTCGCCGAGCTTCTGGATACGCTCCTTATTAATCAAACATTTGCGCTTGGTGTCACGGTAGTACTTTTGGGTCCTTTGGACCCTGGTCCACTTTGCTAGCTTCAGCGAATCCGACTCCATGGGAACATCAAAGTCTCCATTGGCATCCTTGTACTCTTTGAGCTTTTGGAAATTGGCTTCCCACGCTGTGTCCGTTTCCTTAACCTTGTTCAGGTCGAGTTCGACCCCCCAGTGAAAGTTGAGCTCGTCGAGCTCATCGATCTGTTCCTGTGTCAATGCTCTGCGAGGTTTTTTGCCGCCCGTCATCTGGAGTTTAAAGTTTCGCCTCGTCTCCTGTACCCAGTTGCCAAAAGTCTTGTTTCCCTTATAGCTACCAGTAGTAGGAATCTTGCAGTGACCGTTCTCCGCTAGGAACTCCTTGCATTCCTTGATGCAGTCTTCCCAGCTCATTTTCTTCTTGAATGTTTCGATCTTCTTCTTGGCTTTCTTGGCGACATCCTTCTCCTTCTTTTCAGTCTTCTTGGATTTGGCGTCAGACTTGTTCTCTTCAATCTTCTCTTCTGCTTCGTTGCCGAGATTCTTCTCGTCGCTTTCAGAACCCTTTGCGTCAGTATCCATCTTTTCCTTTGTCTCCGAGTCCATTGTCTCGGAGTCCTTTGCCTTTAAGACGATCTCCTCCTTTGCGTCAGAATCCATCTTCTCCTTTGTCTCTGAGTCCATTGTCTCGGAGCTCTTTGCCTCGATTTTCTGCTTTGCGTCAGTATCCATCTTCTCTTTTGTCTCCGAATCCATTGCCTCGAAGTCCTTGGCCTCCTCGGAGACGATCTTCTCCTTCATCTCAACCTTCATCGTTCTCGTTGGGTGTGTGCACGGTTGATGCCTTTCAGAGTGCGTTGTTGACGATGGGGTATGATTGCTTCGTTGACTTTTTGTGTACGATCTGCGGTTGCCACTTCGTGCTCGTGTTCGTCGTGGCAGCTCCAACTAGCTACTAGTAGCGTGGAAGGCAATCCTTGGAGGATACCACAGCGAAATTTCACGGGAATCCTTTTGCTCCATTGATTGTACTTCTCCAACGGCAGAATCCCACGTCTTGGTGATGTCGAGTTAAGCAGCCTAGCTAGTTGCACAATCTCGCACTTGCATTTTGGGCTTTTTCGCATCCAGAACCCCGGGTTCCAGTTGTGATTGGAAAACGCGAGCACTCCATCGGGGTTCAGCCTTATTGGAAAACCTCAAACGATACCTCTCCAACCAAACGCTCCGGCGACACGCAACGAGGCTTTCTCGGAATGGGCTGGCATCCAAGGATGTAGGTTTGCTTTGGAAGGTTGCTTTCTGTGGACCGTCAAGGACTGTAATGATCGAACGTGGGCCACACTCCAGCCACACGGATCGCACCCAGTGATTGTATCCATGTCGCCTCGTGCCTGACCAAGCTTGTCATCACGGCACGTCATTGGAAAAGAAGGGGGTCAATACTTCACGATCGCGGCTGTTTAATTTCATGCTCTTATAGTAGAGGTTGCCTTTTACGAGTCAGAGGAGCAAAATGAACTGGGCCAGCGCTTGCCGCATGGCCCTTGCATCAATCTGTTCCTTCCTTGGTCTGATGTTAGTAGGTGCCAACCAACATCCAATCAGCTTTTCTGGCCATTCTCTGAATCGTTTCAGTATCTCGAGTTGTTCCCTGTTGCATAGGCTTCAGTGTCCCGTCCCGAAGGTTTTGACAAGATTCCATAGACACCAGCATTACCAGTGAGGCGTTGTGGATTCAAATCATTGGAGTATGCTCCAGCGGGATCAATGTAGTGATGGTGTCTCATGACAATGCTAATGGCTTCAGGATACATGGGCCTGGTCAAGTTGCAAGCCTCTTCTTCGCCATAAATGGCCATGATTAGCTTCTGAAGAATGCTTTGTCAGTTTCAGTCATGTCGTTTTGTTCCTCGCCACCTGACGGATCGACCTCCTTGGCCTTCTTCTCTTCGGAATGAGCGGGCTCGTTTCCAACATCATCCGGTGCAACAGGGGTGACAGGAGCATTGTCAGAAGTGGAGGGGAAGGAAGCACAAGGAGCTTGCTTCTTGGAGGAATTTGTTGTGGTCTTTTTGGCGGGCGGCTTCTTGTCGTGGTTGCCGTCACTGTCATGGCGAGCCTTGTTGCTGCTGATTGAAGAAGGCGGAGCCCGATCATTTTTCTTGGCCTTTGTGGCAGCACCCTTGGCCGCTCGAGTTTCTTTCGGATGCGCTTGTGGCCACTATACGACTTGGCACAATCTCCGGACACCATTCATCCCCCAAAAATCCACAAGTGCTCAGGAACGTCTCCATGACCTAGACTCCAAATCGTACGGAGGAATCAACTCGTTGCCCTTGTAACTGCACAAACAAGATGAAAGATGCAAGAATAAACGGCTGGTGGATTGTAATTGAACGCACAGCAACGCCTCGTCGATCGATGAGACCGTTGTCTCCAGGCCATCTCGCAAAGATGAAGTTGAGTCTCCCATCCCAACTTGGTCCCATTTGTTAATAACGAAGAAGAGGAACCGTCTTAGGGCGAGTCGGAGTCTGAAGCACCGGATCCAGACAAAGAACATGGAGACCAGGTACAATAAACACAGACGGTGTTGGAAGATATTGACGGCGATTCTGATGAGGAGGCCAGCCACGAAACTGATCAAGGCACCGATCAAGAAGATTCTTGGTCCATGGACTTGTGAAACGCTCGAGGTGTGCGAGCGAGACAAAAAGAGCATTGACTGGTCCGCGGACATGCAGCCAACCACCACTCCATTGTAATGGCCAATGCCGGTACACCCAAGTTGTACCAGCAGCCTCGATTTTCCTGATGCAAAAGCGTGCAAAGCTCTTCCAGAACACTTCTATATGAGCGTTGCTGTAATCTTGTTGGATCCCTTGATTCTGACCCAGAGAGGCTGCTGGCAGTCAATGTGGAAGCCATTTGAAGTACCAAGGTGTTTGCGTCACTTCTTTATCAGATTATCGTTCTTGCTGGTGAAACTTTGCTGCCAGTGCATGTCATGTGACAAAGATCGAAACCGACAGTAGTAGCGGTCCCAACCGGTTTCCATGTAAAACTCGGATGCTACTACGCCTTTCGTCGCTTGTTCCTTTTGTTTGCTGCTGTAGTTTTCAATGTCGCCGGTGCGGGTGTGTTTTTGGGCTGTGTGCAGACCGTACAATAGTCGATACCATTGCCTTCCTCGTTCATGGTCATGCAAACTTGACATTCCCATTGCGGATTGGTTGCAGTTGGATCATCATGCAGTCGAATGTATTCCACCCATTCCTCGTCTCGCTCCTGAAGGGCTGCCATGTACTCCCGAATGCGTTGAAGGCGTCCTCCGGTTCGCCCTTGTTCTTGCTTGACCATGTCCGTGGCAACCGCCCTGAAAAAGACACGAAACGGACTCGTTGTATCACTCCTCCATTTATCATCATCATCGTCATCCTCCTCTTCTTCCGCTGGGACCAAGACCACCGTGGGTTCCAACCCATAGTCGGCCCAATAGTCTCCCCGCCGGAGGGACTCCAGACCCTGTTGTACGTGCTCGAGGAGATCCTTGAAAGACCCTTCCTCTTCAGAGCTGACTTTGGCAGTTGGTATTGCTGCTGTAGAAATAGCACTATCGCCGCTTGCCGTGGTGCTAGGAGTGACGGTCGTAGAGCTCGACGTAGCATCTTTCTTCTTGTTGGTTTTGGAGGCTCTGTCTTCACCCGCGTTCCTTGTGGTGTCCTCCGTTTCTCGTGCCCGCTTCTTTTTGGTTTCCATTTCTTGGATGAGTTTTTCCTGGGCGGCACTTTGTTGGGCTCTTAGTTCGGCTTGCTTCTTTTTGGTTTCCATCTCTTGGGAGGGTTTTCTCCGGTTTCTTCTGGCTCTTGGTTCTTCGGGTCGACAAGCGTCACAAAGCGAGCAATTTTGGTCCATGGCTTCATTCATCCTTGTGCACATTTCACACTGCCACTGCGGTTTGGCCGGCATCTTCTTGTCGCCTTCCTCTTCTTCTTCGCTGGTGGTGACATCTTCCTCTTGCTCGCGTCGGATCTGATCAATCTTTCTGTGATTTCTCGAGCTACAGGTTTTGTTGATGAGCCTTTTCTGCTTTTGGGCGTTCTTGGTGGTATTAATAGTTGTGGTATTCTTCATGACTCTTGGTCGGACTGCAACTGGAGGACTTACGGTACTCATGGTTTTTGGTGGGGGTCGGATTGCCACGGGGGCACTGGCTACAGGAGACGGTGGTGGTGATCTCTTTCGTTTGGGTTTGAGCTGGGGTGGCTGGTGTGTTTCTATCGTTTTCCTTTTGGCTTTGACTTTGATAGTAGAAGAAGGTCGAGGAGGATTAGAAGCACATGCCATGCATGTAAGTCTGATAGAGGAATTTGCCAGAGTGCACACTCCACAGATCCAAGTCCCTTTCTTGGCTGGCATCTTTCTGTCTTCTTCTTCGTCACTGCTGCTGGAATCGTCGCTGCTGCTATCACTATCTCTGGAAGACGAGGCACTGTAGCTCTTTGAAGGAGTCACTTGCCGTGCCACTTTGCTGCGGCCCTTGTAGTAGCGTCTGTCTTTAAATTCTTCGTCATCGTCACCACTGTGATCATCAGCACGACGAGACAAGGAGAGTGGAGCGGCATCTGGACGAACGCTTTGCTGATGCTGCTTGAGTTTCTTGGCTTGTCGCTTCTGGACATGACTATCGACAAAGCCCTGTGCAAACTGCAGGGCATCCCGTAGATTCACTCGATCTTTTTCCATCGCCAAAAGTACGGTCAATCGAGGTTGATTCTTGTGCTTGGCCATGAGCCGTACCAGTTGCTTCAGTTCAACTTCCGTGTTGCTGTACTGAAACACAGAACCCTCATCGTCGTCGATGTCGTCATGGTGCTTTGACCTGCGACCGCCATTATTACTTGTCATGGTTACTATTAATACGATGTTGAGGAGGAAGGTTTGGATGTTTGGATGCCGAGAATGAGGAAATGAACTGTTACTAGTAACTTGTAACCAAGGAATTACCTTTCGTTGTAGATCTTAATCTAAAGGTTTTTATAGACTAAACGCGTCAAACTTCCAAGTGGATCTTTGTTGGTTTGAGGCAGACCATTGGATCTGTTGACTGAAGGCAGCAGAGCCGCAAGCGAGTGTGAAATCGCTTTGAACTTGAACTACCGGTATCGGTACCGGTACCACCTGCACCCTCTCCTGCCATGAAAGGGACTGTTCTATTCAACCTTCTGGAAAGTACTCGACGAGAACAGCGGATGTGAAGCGCTCTGAAGATACCGCGGTATACCCTCAGCTGCCATGAATAGACTATTCTATTCAGGCTTCTCGACTCCGATCTCCACTCTTTGGCCCTGGCTCTTGCCATTTTAATTGTACACGATCAAGGCACTCTTGATCTCTTCCACCACTAGGAGTCTTTGTCCTTTGATCCTCTCCACCCTCCTCCCTTGCCACCCTTTTCTTTTTTGGTCCTTCCATTGCCTGCTCCCTCCGTTGTTGGGCTCACGCTCTCCCCCTCCTCCCCTGAAACCCCTCCTCACCATACTAGTCCACTCAAACCTGCAGTAATTTCTCTGTCACATTGTACAAAACATCAGCAGGGATGGCAGAAGAAGAAAACCATGGTTGGAATGAGAAGGAGGATTCTGGATACACTGGGGGCAGCAGAGATGCCAAGAACTCGAGCAGAAGAGATGATCCACTCGACCCCGCGGTAAGAGATGCCCTTATTAAAAGGGCTGAGGCAGAAGCCTTACAACAATGTCAAGAACGAGACCATCAGAAAACCAGCACCATTGCAAACTCTCGGGGAAAAGAAGAAGAAGCTGCCAAGAAGCTGCCAGCCAAACAGAACCCTTCATCCGCAGTTTGTAGTAAGGAATGTAGAAGTGTCAATCAAGGGGCAGATGAACAAGAACTGAAAGGAGAAGAAGAAGAAGACGAAATCATGAAAATTGTGGCGATTCAGGCCAGTTTGGCTACTGCAGAATTTCTCAATAATGCCAAAAAAGAAGAAAATCTCCATAATCAAGAAACACCCAACACGACCATCCAGCGATCGTTTTCTCCAAAGGGAAAGGCAGTTGCTGAGGGTGTGCCTGCCAAAGGATTGGCATCGGCACAAGTATTGTTGAGGCAAGACCACACAGACGCTAATATGGACCTTTTGCAAATGGCAACTGTGCGACAATACCATTGTGGATTGATTAATCTAACGATCTAAGAGATGTAAAGTTTGTATTTCCAAATAAGTGAGCAGTTATTGATTATTTTCTAGAATAGGCCCGCAATTTATAAAGCTGTAAAGCTGAATTGTAAGCTGTATCCCGTCGCACTCCCTTACAGCTGAAATGAAGCTGTAGCAAGAAACGATAGGAGAGAGTCCCCAGCAACGTGCTGAGGTAGATTACCATCCCATGAGGAGCTTCCGAATGACCAATTTCCTTGAGCAGGGCTCGCATAGGAAGCAGCTCCCTCATGGACATGCTGAAGGCAACATATTCAGCAGCAGTGGAGCTCAGAGTAATGTCAGTCTGCAGTTTGCTGGACCAAATCACAGGGCATCCAAACAAAGTCAAGACAAAACCAGTGCGAGACTTGACCGAAACAGGATCCTGATCATCCTCATATCCATACAACCCTGCGAAGTCAGCATCCACCCAACAGTCAAGCCCTTGATCAAGCTTAGGGCTGAACAAATGCCTTTGTCACTTGTGCCAATTAAATACGAAGATACGTTTGATGGCTTGAGCTGTGATGCTTGGGGTTGTGGCTGAATCTTGCACCTGATGTACACTAAAGTGATGTCTGGGCGAGTGTTGGATGCATGTAAAGCAGCATCCAACTGAGCTGGATAGCTCACTCTTCTCAAACGGGGCACCAAGTTTGTCAGCGCCAAGAGGATCGGTGGCAGCAGGGGATGGCTTAGAGCTAGCTTCAGACATTCCAGTTATCCAATAACCTTGTTGATTAGCCCCTTTTGAGTCAATCCACATTGTCTCCCTGTCTTTCAAATTAATACCAAGGAACCAAAAATGTCTCCCTTTCTTCATGGTGAGGTCATATCAAGCTTCTGGAGCTGCAAATAGGACTCAATCAGATCTTGTCCGGACTGAGCCAGATTTGGTCATCACAAATAATTTAATACCATGAGTTGATGCTCCTTATGAATAAAAAACAAGGATCTGCTGCTGAGGTTTCGAAACCAAGTTGGACCATCCCACGACATAGATGCTCATAGAACAATTTGGGTGAATCAGTCTGCCCATAAATGGACTTGTCAAGTTTCAAAACACAGTCCTGCTTCATAATCTTTGGGTCGAATAGTACTGAGTGCAAGTTCCATGTACAAGGCTGGTCGGCAGGCTGAGGACTCTGACAGAAGCAAGAGAAAATCAATTGGTCCTCGAATTCCCATTCCATGTGCAGCTGCAGAAAAGACCGGCTCTAACAGTGGCCAACAACCGAGTGGAGAGTATGCGGTGCCTTCTAGGACGAAGGTCACCTCTAGCAGCACCATCTAAGATTTGAACTTGTTCAATTGGCCATCTGGTAACCTCTTGATTCGTTGTACCATGTTCCCGGAACTGCCTTGGGTGTGAGGGATTGAAGAACGATTATACGATGTGCCAAGTCCCTTTGCCTTCAAGGCTTGGCAATGTCTCTTGTCCATTGCTGCCCAGAAGTTGGTCCGGCATGTGGTCCCATTCAGAGATATCCTTCAGAGATAGGAGATCAGGGTCTCTGGAAGTTTTGGCTGCTTGAGGCAGTGGCTTTGAAGAATTGCCAGGATTGAACATTCCTGGGTTGTGGCAAAGGATGAATATCCAGTTACGGTGAGCTTGTAGATGTCCTGAAATTGGAGTGATTCCAAAGGTCACTAGCCTAAAGCACAACTGAGCAGGGATGAAGGGCGTCATAGTCTTCAGTTTTGGGTCAATGTTCAGAATCTTCGCTTCTTGTGTGAGCTGTCCTACTGGGATTCCGACGTGGGCAGCGACAGGGATTGCCTCGATGGGAACATCTGTGGGGAGTGCTGACGATGAGGAGGCTCTCCTTGTCCAAACGAAGGCAACTGTTGTGTCTGAAGCAAGTGTAACGGTCTGGAATCTCCCTGTGTGGAACCTGGGGCTGTGCTGGAGATGGAGCTTGAAATGAGATCATCCCCTTTTGTTTTTGCTCTTGTCATCTGCCATAAATTTCTCCCTTTTCGAAGCTTCTGAAGATGAGATCGGTGCCGGTTGATGGCCTTTTCCTCTGGAGTAGAGCAATCGTCTGCTAAGGGAGGAGGAGTGTCCTCTCAAATAGGGTCTCGAAGTGTTGAAGATGCACATGTTGATCCATTCTGGAGGTTGTTGAACTTCTGAAGAGTAACTGTCTCAAACCAATCATAGAAAACAAGATGGTACTGGGGCGAAAGGTATCCGGTTGTAGTTTGCGGATCAACACCAATATTTTCTGAATGGAAGGTGAGTGCCAACATATTGACCTCTCCTGGACCTGGGCTGCCATTTGGAATCTTTGCCTCTCTCACTGGTAAGCCGCGGTTCAACAAACATAGGCAGGATCCCCATGGATGGCCATTTCTGATAACTTGACAATCACTGACAGTCCTGGAAAAAATCTCAATGGGAGCAATCACAGTAACTGAATTCGGAGTGTTGTTATAAAGGTGTGCTGCATGAGAGACTGCCAAAGGCCAAAGGAATTCATCATCAACTTCCGGCACAGAAGTGCATCATTGATCATCATTGTTCTAGCTTTGGTTACTACAATTTTAATGGCTCCCTCAGAAAACCCATTCTGCCATTTGGCACCAGTAGCAGAATATTTAATTGATTGATGGTGGTCCTTAAGAGGTTGGACATATGATTGGCTTTTGTAGATGCAATGGTCAGTGTGATATGACTGAACCACAACCCCATGTTCGAGACACCAACGTTCGTATGCTTCCTTGGCCATGATAGAATCAGAGGCATTCAATGTAACTTGGTGGTGGGAAAAGATGGCAGCCGATGCGGCATCACAAAATACTGAAGTTCCAAAGTACTTATTGCTGTCTTGTTCCCTTTCTGCAGTGTGCATCAATCTGCCTCTCAACTCCCGTGTGACTCCAATTGGTCAGTGAATGTTGTCTTACCTGGCTCCAACTGTTCTTTCTTGAGGCTCCTGTTTGATCTGGAAGCTTTCTTGTTGACAGTAGTGTGGCCATGTTGTCTGACTTGCTTTCCATATTGACAGGCGGCACAATTTAGGGATGATCACCAACTTTGCTTCTAAGCAAGCCCAGACCCCTTTTGTCCAAGAACCCACCCAGCCCAGAGACTGACATGGGAGAAGGACAGATGTCTCAACTTGTAGTGCCATTGCAGCCAGATTTTGTCAAACGGAGAGAGGTTCAGGTTGTTGGCATGAAGCACTGAAGTCATTGCTTGCAGTGAAGAGATTGCCTTTCCTTGTGGGAACAGGGTAAGTCGTTGCAGAAAGCTTGAATCAAACGACATTTTCAGCATCTTCTTGCCTCCCGAATGCCACTCAGCATGGTCGTGATAAAGCTGAAGTGGTCATCACTTTTTGATCCCAAATGGCTTAAGTCTTTTGTGTGAAAGGAATGCTTGAGGGCATAGGAGTCTGTTCGGAGATCAAGATGAATCAGAACCTGCTCCTTGAACGACACAACAATCCCTTGTTCATCCAGAGTCTCCCCATCTGCGCTGCGATGTACTCTCATGCTCAGCCTCCAGCGATACCTCCTAGAACAATTGGGTCTGAATA